AGTCCTCCTATGGGAAAAAATGTAATGAGTTACAAAAACAACAGATAGCTAAGCTCCGCCAGGAAGCTCACCTGTGCTCACCTCAACCTTTGCCACTCTCATTGCACCTCCAAAGCGAATAGGCTCGAGCCTCTTTGAGGCCCTTTTGGGATGACCACATCCCTCCCTAAAGGCAGAGGAGAGGCCCATCCCACTGGTGGGCAAACTGACTCTTTGGAATATAATCTAATGGTTGGGTTGGCAATATATAAATCATGTAACAATGTTGTAACTGTTTCTTTAAAGCATACTGTAAAATGTGATTGGCTGCTGTTTTTCCTCAATCGGCCATAAGAGGGAGCCCACTCTTAGCTCGCTCTCTGTTCCTTAGATGCTGGGCTGATCTGAACTGAGTGAGCTATTGTAAGTTCTGCAGCTGTTAGCAAAGTTTGAGTTCCGAACTGATTATATGATACTGGACTATGTTATTTGGATTATCCCTTAACGGAAAGATTTTGATGACTGACTGACTTATCCATGTATGACTTGGACTGTTTAATGGACTATGATACCTCTATTTCCACGAAAGTAAAAGCCTATTTAAACTGCAGTGTCTCTGTATGCTGGTTTGTGTGTTCTCCAACACAACTCTAACAACACTTCGCTGAACGTACTCGCTCTCCCAATGGGGAGCTTACTTAACATTATAAAGTCCTTCGGGATTGGGCGGCATATAAATCCCATTAATAAAACAAACAAACAAACAAACAAACAAATAAATACTATTTGTCTTTTGATTTCAATCCTACTCTAGAAAAAATATTCTGATGGAGTGACTAGGAGTGACAGACTTCTAGTTACTGCTAAAGAAGATGGGAAACATGCCATTTCATCCTACCTTCCATTTTTGTCCCGGGAGTTGACATCTGCCCCATGGTCTAGAAGGTATTTGCATACTTCAGAGTGGCCGTTTTGTACTGTCAGGAAGAAAGGCGTATTTCCATCCTGGAGAAAACATTGAAACAAAATTATAACCTATCAATTATTCAATTGAACCCAAAGAATTCCAACACATTTATAACAAGATGTGCACCACAGAAGTTGGAAACATCCAGAAACTGGAAACAATGGAATAATCCTTATTTAGAAGCTAGCTGTGTAGAAATTCTATACACTTCATCAGTTATCAAAAGTCTAGTGTAGCAGTGGTTCTGCTGCAGCATGCCATGAGCAACCCTCAGTCCTAGGGTTACATGTGATCCTGAACCCTTCACTTGCTATCTTCAGAAAGCCTCGACTGCAGAAAAAAATGGATAGGTTTTTTTTGTCATTTTGAGTACATGTTACAACTGTAGTCTAACCCCTAAAATAGATGTATTACTTTAAAAAGCAAACCAACAAGAAGCATTCCAATAAAAAACCCAGAGCACAATTAAAAATCTTATCCATGATATGCAGCTTTATAATCTTATCTCAATGACCTTTTGTACCCAAACGTTACATATCTTTCTTGAATGAAATCTATCCTACCCATTGTCATAGAATTGTCACCCATCCTACAGTAATACACATGGAAACATGCGGTCGTTTCAGGTGTTGTGTATATTTATTGCTATTTTTGGAGACCATGGGTGCTCAGAAGAGGGTCTCTGGTCTTATCTGATAAGTGTCTTGTCCAGGTACTAACCAGGTGTGCTCCTGCTTATCTTCAAACCAGATAAGTTGACTTAGTATTGTCATCTACCAACCTAAGCAAAACCTCCAAGCTGGTCCTGCTGCTCTCATGCTCACGGGACTGGTGTATATAACTTGAAACTCAACAAAACAACCACCTAGTTACTGGGTTGAAAAGTAATACTAAAGCAAGGGTGTCAAACTCGCCGTGACACATTGCAGTCACATGAAGTTTCCCAGCATTTTTCCTATTCGCGGAGCTGGGGTGGGTGTGGTCTGCATGTAATGTATCCGGCCCGCAGGCCACCAGTTTGATACCCCTGAACTAAACGAAAAGTTTTGTGAGATTGTCATCATTGCTGCTCTTTATGCATAAAGGTATTGTTAAAAGAACTGGCAGTCCAGCTTTGCTGGAAAGCTAATTTCAATCTTCTTTCTCTGAATAGAGTTGAATGGATTGCTTTATATAAAACAAGTAAGAAAAATGAACCAAGAAGTTTAATGAAGTTAAGATAGCTCAGACATGGAATAAGAACACCATAAATAAAGAAGTTACAATGGCAATAGTCATCAGATGGAAATAAATATGACCCACGACTGCCAGTTGTTATACACCATCAAACTTGCCTCTAATTATGAAACTTATTGCAATGTTATCCTTTTAATACTTAGGTGAACATTTCTCATTTATGCCTTCTGAATTTCTGATCCTGGGGCAGAACCAGATATCAAAGTAAAAGCTAGCTGATACTTTATATAGCAGATGGCTTAACAATGCTTTCTTGTTAATAACAGCAGTTCTGAAAGTGCAATTAGTAACTATAAATATCTATGTTGGGATATCTTCAACTGGACATACCTCTTTGCTGCAAAATTATTAAAAAATAGTAGAATAAAGAATGCCAAACAAAATTGCTGACTAGGTTTTAATATTATTTCAGGAACTGAAAGGCAATTAAAAGCTTAATAGGATAAAATAATTGCCAGTGAAATCATAATTACATACCTGATCTTTGATGTTAAGTGGACACTTGTGTTCACACAGGTGCTGAGTTATTTGAAGGCAGCCTTGGGCAGCTTAAGGGGGGGGGGAAGAATTGTAATATTAGATCTGCAGTATATACTCTTAAAATTCACCTGTTTGTTAGTTTGTAACATTCAACTGAGCAAAACAGTGTAACAGGCAACAATTTTTGAACCAACACACCTCAAATGGGCTAACTTAAAGAATGTGTTCAAAACCCAAAACCTGTAACTCCTATATTAGGATTAAAATTTGGAGAGGTTTCGGCTGTTTTAGCATCGTTGCATTCCAGCTATCAGTTACAGATCCACGATCATCATTTCCCCGGCAGGTCTGGGGTTGATGAGTTCCCCTCCCCTCTCGACTTGTACTGCTGTATGACTCTTGTGTATTTTAATTATGTGTATTGTGTTTGTATCCCCTTTCCCCTTTTGAGTTGTTCGCCGCCCTGAGTCCCTCCCGGAGAAGGGCGGCATACAAATAAATTAAATCTTAAATCTTAAATTTCCAACGTCCCCTCTCAGCTTCTCCTAAGGAAAGTCAATGGGGAAGCCAGCAGAAATTTGGAAGTCGTTCCCATTTCCACAGCTTTTTTGCCCATCTCTTGTCATTCTGCTTGTCTGTTTAGGTCAGGGGTCTCAAACTCACAGTGGTGTCACATGATGTATCACGACTTCCCCCACTTTCACTAAAACAGGCATGGGCGTGGCCAGCAAGTGATTAATCCGGTCCGTGGGCCGCGAGTTTTGACACCCCTGGTTTAGGTAAAGAAGTATCTCTGAAACAATGACCCAATGGGCCCTGGGTTGTCTACTTCTTTTTTAAAGTCCTTTTAGAAGGTCACTCAGTGTGGAGCTGCACCAGGTGACTATATTCCTCACATTTTCATGGGCTAGACCATAATTTGTTGCTAGAACTATGCAGTACTTCAGATTTGAAGTCAAAAGGATGCTTCAGAGCATATAGCACATTAATGTAGCAGCCTGATGTTTTCCCAGGATAGTGCAACTATAACAGCAATCACGTGATTGAAGGACACTGCAAAGGTTGTAATTTAATAAATAAATAACATTATCTTTTCAGCACCATTGTTATTTCAGTCCTTCACAAATAGTGAGTAAGTGAGGACTACCTCTATCAGGTTCCATTGGAAATTTACTCACTAAACCTCATTCAATCATGTCTTTACTTTGGGAATATAATGAAAGTAATTAAGATAATTAGTGACCTGATGTACTCAATTTGGTCTTGTCCTTCTTGTTTGTCAAAGTTCTTACTGAACTTTAAGCAGAAGGGACAAATTATACTAGATTTATGTTAATGAATGGAAGCAAGATGATTATGTAATACCTGAATAGTGTAAAGCGGTTTTTCCCGAGCTATCTGTGTTCTCTGCTGGACATTTGGACTGTAGAATAAGAAAAAAGAAGTTTTAGTAAAATACAGAACACAAAGGATTTTGAAAGTTAGACTGCTGCACTGTAAAGTTTTTGGTGTGAATATTAAACTAGTTTTGAGAGTTATCCAGGATTAACTCAATGTTCAGGACAAAATTAAACTGAATGTTTTTAGAAAGGGATTAAATCCATTTTCCAAGCTTGATCATCCAACACCACTTAGTTGCAAGACTGCAATAGGTGAAGCAATTTGCTTTTGATTGGTTGAAACTAAGAAAGGACATGTCAAAAACAGATGTGAGCAATTAAGATAGCAATAGCAATAGCAGTTAGACTTATATACCGCTTCATAGGGCTTTCAGCCCTCTCTAAGCGGTTTACAGAGTCAGCATATCGCCCCCAACAACAATCCGGGTCCTCATTTTACCCACCTCGGAAGGATGGAAGGCTGAGTCAACCCTGAGCCAGTTAGATTTGAACCGCTGAACTGCAGAACTGCAGTCAGCTGAAGTAGCCTGCAGTGCTGCATTTAACCACTGCGCCACCTCGGCTGTCGATGTTACTAAATGTTTAATAAAAGAAAAAGGTCTATCTTTGACTGAAAAAACCATTTAGATTTCCAGCAAAAGAAAAATACATGGACAAATGGTGCTGTCAGAGATTTCGGTTCTCTTACTGTAGGAAGTCTACAGTGTTTCTAATGTAACTGGTCTGTTCCAGCATGCTTTCAGATTGGACTGGCTACAAGTGTTGGAATTTCCTAAAGATTTCTTATCTGAGTGCTAACCAAGTTCATGCCTGCTTAACTTCTGAGTACAATGTCAGTTCTGAACTTAGTAGGTGGTTTTATGCCCTCTGTATATCAGTCCTATCCAAAAATGCTAATTAAAGACTATGGTGAGTTTACTGAATTAGAAAGGAGGGCAGATATTACAACATTAGACAGAGGACTGAACTCCATTCACAGGAGCCAATATATTGGATTTTAGAGAGTGCCTTTGTCTCCATCTCATTCTGTAGTGTACCACTTTGGGGAAAGTGGAAAACTGTAGATAAATCTGATACCAACTTCTAATTGTGTGAGTCTATACTAGAATCCAGCCAAGAAGATTTTCTCACCCTATTGTAAAAATGAGGAGCTTGATCCATGGCTTAAGCTTTTTGCTATCAAATGTGAAGAAACTGGACAACCACTACTTTTAACTAACAAATCTAGCACTTCTCACAACAAACAATTTATTTAGGCAATTGCAGCTCTTCTTATTCTCTAGCCTGACATCAAATAATTCTCGTCAGATGTTAAAAGTCAACATTTACCACTCCCAGTACATGCAATTATATGGCATTTTATGTGAATTGTACCCACCAGCTCATACAAACAGGAAGAAAATGTAGAGTAGGCATCTTAGTGAGAGCACCATTAAACTGCGGTGCAAAAGAAAGCAGCAAACAACCACATAATCTAAGGATTTATTCACAAGCCCTGGACTTAAAATAATTCATTGATTTAGATAGACCCTGTTGGAAACTCTTAAATTCATTTAATTGGCTACTTACAGAGAAGCTTAATGTAGACTGGCATTTAATCAGAAAACCAGAAGAGTTGGGCCCAGAGGGAGGGGATATAAAGCACCTTACCTGAAGAAGTCTCTTGACGCAGTCAACATGGTTATTCTTGGCCGCAAGATGCAAAGCATTGTGCCCTATGTAAATATTTCATAATTATTTCAGGCCCATTGAAAACAGTACCAAAAATGAAATGAATATTGTTCAAAACCTTAGCTTGAAGTATTAAGTGGGTATGTCTTTATATTAAAAATCTGAAGCATACTGATGAAATATAATAGAATGGTCCCAATCTTAGAGCCTTGATGACTTGGTTCTGTGCTTGAACCCGAGGCCCTGGATTTCTGGTAGAGCGCATTGTGTCGACTGTATGATGTTTCTGGTTGTGTCGACTGTATGATGTTTTTGTAGTTTTTTCTTGGCTGGCTATATACTTTATGTGGCTTTTTAAAAATTGTGGCTTTATTATCTTTAATATTGTGAGCCACCAAGAATCATGTGGTTGAGATGGATGTCCATATACATCTAATGAACAAACTAAATGCAGCTATGATTACTGTGACTGGACCCAACATATCTGTTAGCCAACCCACATTGTACAAATACTGAAATCTGAGGGCAGATTTTCTGCAGCCGAATTATAGCCTGCTCTTAGGTTTCCTTCAGATTCTCTGAAGCCCATCTCTTTCTGTAAGATGTCTACGTAGCATTTAAACAAGGTTTAAACCAAGTACAAATGGATGAAGCCAGATGTTTTTTGTTCTCATTTAATGGTAACATGTGCTTATTTTTGGAGGTAAGGAAGAGAATATTAGTACATTTGTTGATTATGTCTGGGTCTGCTTATGTCACTCGTATAACTCTGGGAGGAAGGTGGGCTGTTTAAAAGTGAGATGGATGGATGGCTAGATAGATAAGTAGAATCTCCAGAAAGGTAATGTTCCTTAAGATGGATATGTGTCATGGCACAAATAGTTCACCCGCTGGGCCCTGCTAAATGATGCTTTCTAGCAGATGGGACCTGGAGCAAGCCTCTCCTGTCATACCAAATAGTACTGAAAGAATCAACCAAGGAAAGATAAATTGGCCAAAGCCCTAAAAATTATGGTATATCCCAAAGAAAACAAAATAAACAAAACAAAATAGGGTTGTGGGGCAGAGCAGACACAGATATAGAACTCATTAGCAGGATGCAATAACAACAACAACAACAACAACAACAACAACTGAGTATAGTTCACTGAGTATAGTTCATGCCATTTCTGGTTAAGTCAACTGGGGAGCTTAATTTGAGATACTGGAAAGCTGCTATTAATCAGAAAACAAATATTTACCAGAAAAAGAATAATGCTTTAGCACAATGCAGCCTTTCTCATTCTTGCAGTCTCCAGAAGCGTTGGCTGCAACTCAAATGTTCAATTAACTGCTCTAGTCTAACATACCTGTGCAGCACTAGATATGGGAATGCTGAACTTATCTCCATACATCCGTATATATCCATGTGTCAATTCAACCACATCCACAGACTTGCTTAATTTTGGAGTATTTAGATGTATTTAAGTAACATGGGATGGGCAGGCAGGTTGGCTGGAAATGAATGTACCTGGAGGGTACTAGACTAAAGTAGGTAGAAGTCAACCTTTCAAGGTAGATCAGACTAAGGAAGCTAAGGAACCAAACCTAATACTACTACTAATACTACTTTCAATGTAAATTTATAGTACATTTTATTATACAAAATCTAGCAAGTCAGAATGTGCCTCTCTCTCCTTCTTTGTGTTGTGGCCCGCCAGCAAAAGAGCGTGGCTGTCTAAACTCCTGATCAACAGATGATACTGTTGTGGCTCGCCAGCAACCAGCAAAGCTGGCAGCAGATTCGGACAGTGAGGAGGTTGGGGCCAGTCCTTGAGTGTGGAGAAGGCTCTGATGAGGGCTCTGTGTTGGAGGCAGAGAGGGGGCCCAAAGCTGTATGCCAGTTATCAGCTGCCTTCAGAGTCACACATCAATGAGGCAGACGAACAGCTGGAGCCTGTTCCCAGTGTGCGCATGTGCAGAGCTACCAGACGAAGGGAACAGCTAAAGAACAGGGGTCGACTTGGGAGTAAAGCCACAGGTGGACGATGAATGGCCCCTCCCGGAGGAAATAAAAGAGGAGTGAAAGGGGAGTGAAGTTTGCAGGAGACAATTAGTTCACTTAATTGGTTCGTGACTCTCAGAGACTCCTTGCCAAGTTTTGCAGATAAGGTCCTGGCAGCTCTCCAAGCCATATAAGGTCTGTGACTGTAAATCCTCCCTTGAAAGACTGAGCAGAATTCACAGTAAATTAATAAAAGGGGTTTTTGTCAGGACAAGGAGTTTGCTTCATGCTCTTAGGAAGCCTGGGTCAGAACACTTTGTGTGAATTCAGAGATGTTTGCATACATAACAGTTTGGCCTGGGCTCAGGTTTTCTTTATCCAACTGTTGCCTTGGCAGTGATTCTTCCTTCTGTTCCTAAAAACCATTCCCTCTGCTTCTACAAAAGCTATGTGCCGCGAAATCAAAGAATGTCGGAGGAATATGCCCATCCGCGCACATGCATGCATACAAACGTCATATCTTTTCACATTAAACAGATAATTTGAGTACCTGTTCCATCCAGGATTGTAACCTCTGAACCATGTGAAATCATAAGCCTGAGACATTCACTATATCCTTTAGAGGCAGCAAGATGGAAGCTGAAAGAAAGAATGATAATGTCTTTAGCCAGTTCCATAATAAGTGAAAAGGAAATGTTGTTGGTGGATCACATTGATTTTTGCCTTAGAAAGAGTTTGCTTGAATAATATATGCATTTCAGGGATGAAATCAAACAGGTTCTGACAGGTCCTGAAGAACCGGTAGCGGAAATTTTGAGTAGTTCAGAGAACTGGCAAATGCCACCTCTGGCTGGCCCCAGAGTGGGTGGGAAAGGAGATTTTGCAGTATCCTTCCCCTGAAATAGGGTGGGAATGGAGATTTTGCAGTATCCTTCCCCTGCCACACCCATCAAGCCACACCACACCCACCAAGCCACGCCCACAGAACCGGTAGTAAAAAAAAAAAGAATTTCACCACTGATGTATCTATCTCCTACTTTAATTCTAAGAACTCAAGGAATTGTGCTCACAGTTAAGATGGAAATTAAACTGCAAGACAGTACTGAATGCCTCAGGGTCACCCAATACAATTCAGAGCCAAGGAGGGACGTAAATTTAGGTTTCCCCAGGCCCGGTTTGACCCACTTAACAGAATGATGCTCATAAAAAAATCATAATTAAAAAGCTTAGAGCAGATGCCTCTCAAAAAACGTTCTTAGTACCTTATAATAAGCACTTTTGGAAGCTTTTAGGAATAATGGCAAGCAGCTAAAGGTTTCATTAATAAAATCAGTAAAAATAAATAAACCAGTTAGTAATTTTCAGTATAACAAAGATCTGAAACTTCACTCCGATGATCTGTTACGACCACCAACTTTGTTTATAGCCAAGGAGAGAAATTAACTCTAGGGTGAGTTAAAAGTCTTCCACATTAAAACATTTCAAACAGGAAGAAAAAAAAAAGATTATAGTCCTACAAAAGTCTAAGGGGAGGGGAGGCTTTCAGAATAACTTAGTTAAAACTTTTTTAAAAAACCAGGATGTTTACGATTGTGAAATGCCTATTCTGACCCTAGTTATAACTGAACATTAAAAATACTTGACATTTCAACATTACAAAAACTCCCAATCGAAAAGATCCATTGATTACAGACCTCTGGAATCTTATGGAAAAAGGACACTTACCTCTCCTTCCTAAAGAAATACACAATTCTCTGCAGAATTTTGGTATAAATCAGAAATAAAATGTTCATATAACCAGAACACCCTCTCATCTGGCAATCAACACCCAGATAAGCAAGGGTTAACTCAAAGATTAACACCAGGCAATCAGTCAAGCAGTAAACATTACATTAATCAAGGAACTTAACCAACTCAGATAAACAAAAGCCTAATCAAGGAACTATCAAGGAGAAAACATCAGTCCCGCCAATACTGGCAGGTCAAGCTACTGTATATAAAACAGAAAGCAAGCCCCACTCCCCACTTTCTTGCAGATGTTCTCCAGTGCAAACAGAGTGCAAGCAAAGCACTAAAGGCAACTACAAGGAAATAACCAAGTTCAGAGAGCACCACTGATCTAAGTCTATATACAAATATAACCAGGATGCTGAAACTGTATGGCACTACATCCTGAGTTCCAATGAAACGTATCATTCTGAATATCATCATCGTCATTGAACGATCCCATAATCCCTTGCGAGGTGGGAGTCTTGGTAATTGAATGGAGATAGCAGAGTGTTTTAATGGCCGGATGACCTTCCCGACACCAATGAGGAGTTTTGTTCAGCAGAGATAGAATGATAGGTTTGGAGTGGTGCGGTGGCCTAGAGGTGGCGCTCTCACCTCACAATCAGGAGGTTGTGAGTTTGAGCGTAGGTAGAGGCAGGTATTTCTCTCTCTGGGCACACTGAGAATATATCCATGGTGAGCCATGGTGACGCAGTGGTTAGAGTGTAATTCTGCAGGCTACTACTGCTGCCTGCCGGCTGCCTGCAGTTTGGCAACAATTGGAAGGGACCTTGGAGGTCATCTAGTCCAACCCCCTGCTCATGCAGGAGACCTATACTAGCGATTCGAACCACTGAACTGCCAACCTTTCTGATTGACAAGCTCCGTGGCACGACAAAACCGCGCTACGCAAAATAGCGGAGATTAAATCGCGTCACTAAAGTCGCGACGTCATCACCGCGCGTCATCACCGCGGGGACAACAGCGCGGTGACAGAAGGGCGTTCTACATGCTTCGTTCTTTGCCTCCAAAGGTAGTCCTCCTCCTCCAGCTGACAGCGGCAGCGGGCACCCTGCGGGAAGAGTCCAGCACAGCCACGGGGGACAGCAGGAAGCCCGCGGGGGGCCCGAGCAGGGCCGCCGACGGCGGAGGAGGACGCAGCAGCGGCGGCGGCTGAGGCTCTCCCGGGGCTGGCGAAGCGGGCTTGCCCGGCAGAGGCAGGCCGCCCTCTTCTTCCTCAACAACACCTCCTGGGAGGGGCGGCCGCCGCCACTGGGCAACC